GTACTGAATACGCGTTCGTGCGTGTGTGCGTACTGAATGCGCGTGCGTGCGTGCGTGTGTGCGTACTGAATGCGCGTGCGTGCGTGCGTGTGTGCGTACTGAATGCGCGTGCGTGTGTGCGTGTGTGCGTACTGAATGCGCGTGCGTGCGTGCGTGTGTGCGTACTGAATGCGCGTGCGTGCGTGTGTGCGTACTGAATGCGCGTGTGCGTGTGTGCGTACTGAATGCGCGTGCGTGCGTCTGCGCGTACTGAATGCGCGTACGTGCGTGTGTGTGCGTACTGAATGCGCGTGTGTGCGTACTGCGTGCGCGTGCGTCAGTGTGAAAGAGGATAGAGAAAGAAGGAACCGAAGTGAACGAGAGATACTGAACGAAAAAGAATGTAGAAAAGAAGGCGAGAATGGGAGAAAAATATGTCGAGCATCCGTATTGTACAAGGTGTGTATATGATTATAAGTGCGTATAATACGCTTCCGTGCGTGCGTGCAAATGTATTGCGCTGTTTGTGTCCGATCCGTATAGTACACGTGCACGTGTATGCGCGTATATGATTGTGCGTACGTGTGCGTCTCTTCTTCTTCCTCCATTCCTTTCTCCGCCGCCACCCCATTCTCTCTCGCTGTCTCTCCTTTCGCTCACTCTCCCGTTGTCTCTCCTATTTCCCTCTGCTTCTCCCTCTTTCTCCCATGCCTTCATTTTATTCTTACCCTTCTCTCTCACCTCCACTCAATCTCTTCCTCGTCCTCTCGTGAATGCTATCCCCCACGCCATCCACCAAGTGGCTAGCCGCTTTTCGGCGAAACCTTTATGCGTCCGTGATGCACAAAACGTGGATATACGGCTATAACACGCGTTTGCAGCCGCACGCACACACAAACCATCAAGTGAACGCCCGCCCGCACGCACACGTATTATGGACACATTTAAATATTTTGCAAATCATGGGCACAAAATAGCGGACTAATCATTTATCTGTTAATACGCGTTACCGATACTTTACGCGGTAGTCAGTACCTCAGCATGAATTGTACGTATTTCCCAACCAGTGATAGGTAGGGAAGTGAGTAGAGTAGACGGGGTAGATGGGCGGGATAGTGAGACAAGGGGGTAGATGGGCGGGATAGTGAGAAAAAGGGGTAGATGGGCGGGATAGTGAGTAGCGGGGGTAGATGGGCGGAATAGTGAGTAGAGGAGGTAGATGGGCGGGATATAGTGAGTAGAGGGGGGTGGATGGGCAGGATAGTGAATAGAGGGGGTGGATGGGCGGGATAGTGAATAGAGGGGTAGATGGGCGGTATAGTAAGTAGAGGGGGTGGATGGGCGGGATAGTGAATAGAGGGGTAGATGGGCGGTATAGTAAGTAGAGGGGGTGGATGGGCGGGAGAGTGAATAGAGGGGTAGATGGGCGGTATAGTAAGTAGAGGGGGTGGATGGGCGGGA